GTGGGCGTGTCTCATGACCTCCCTAGTGGGCGTGTCTCATGACCTCCCTGGTGGGCAGGTCTCATGATCCCCCTAGTGAGAGTGTCATAACCCCCCCCGGAGTAACAGAAGTCTCACCTGGATGCGAGAGCGAGCCAGGTACACGTTGCTCTTCCACTCGGCCTTCATGCGGCGGTACTGGGACGACTTGGAGTGGCGTCCCTGATGGGCACCGGCCACTGTTTCTCCAGGAGACAGAGACAGGACGCCGGGGACGAGACCCACGATGGAGCCTACAGAACCCTGACATCTGGAAGCCGTACTGGTCAGCAGATAGGGCCTGGAACAGACCACACCTGGATTGAAACATCATACAGGGCGAAGCTTAAATTGAACCAGCTGACAGGAACAGGAAGTGATGTCATTACCTCTTGGCCTGGCAAGCTTTGGGTTCAGAGCGGGCCGAGCCGGACGGGTTGAAGGCCAGGGGCCACTCCATGAGCGGGTTCCTGCCATAACGGAAGGTGTAACGCTCACAGGCCTCGACACCAGGCAGCTGCAAACACACACACACGCAGACAGACAGAGTCAGTCAGACAGACAGACAGACAGCAGGTGAGTGTGAGGTGTGACCTCCTCTCACAGGTGTGTGTTCAGGACTTGGACTTACGGACTCAATGATCCGTGTCACTGCAGACGTAGTCAAACCGAACAGGTCTTCTCCCTTCAGGTAAACAGGGAACAGTTTCAGAGTCCCACTGGAGCTCCTCAACTGGGCCACAGGATCCAGGACCTGGTCCCACACAGCTGCACGCACACACACACACACACACACACACACACAGACAAACACACGGGTCAGAGCGTGTAAACGGAGCACACGGGCTGCTCGCAGGTCACATGACCCTCACCTTTAGGAGTGTCTCCTGTCAGGACCAGGTCCTCGTGTCCCTTCTCGACCACCTTGACTTTAAAGAGCGGCTGAGCCTCCGTCTCCTCGATGTAGCACATGTACTTACAGCGCCTGCAGCAGAAACCAATCACTGATCAATTCTCACTCTGAGGAGGAGCACATGACCCTGGCAGTCGTTCTGGCTCCTACGGTTTAACTACCGCAGCTCCAAACAAATGTTAGCTTCAACAGTTAGCAGCTTTACTTAGGCTAACAGGTTAATTAGCATTAGGTCAAGTGGCTCGACATGCTTTGATGTTTATGTTGATCTCAATTGAGATCAGCCTGACAGGTGCTGAGGAACCCGTCCATAACCAGTCAGAAAAATCACCTGTTGCAGTGGCGCATGCTCCAGTAGTAGCGGTTGGCGTGGTAACCAATGGGGAAGATGGCGGCCTGGTTGTGGAAGAAGCCCATCTGCTGAGGGAGGAGCCTGCCAACGGCGCAGAACAGGAGGCTGCCGACCCGGAAGGTGTGCTGCCGCTCACCGCGCTGCACCACGGCGGCGATCTGCCTTGCCTCATCCCGCTGCACGAAGACTCGCCGGAACACAGCGAAGCAGCGCAGCTCCGAGTCGTAAGGGTCACAAAACGGTGCAGAGTCGAGGATCAGGTCGGGCGTGGTGGAGGGGGAGCAGCTGGACGAGCGGTCCCCGCTGAGGAGCAGCGTCCGGGGCTTGTGGAGGTGACAGAGCATGGTCTTATCCTGGAGGAACAGGAGGAGGTCCATGAGTCCACACAGGTGAGTACAGGTGAACATCTGTCTCGGTCTGTGTGTGTGTTTGTGTGCAGGTGTGTGCATCACCTTGAAGAAGGTGCAGTGGGCCTGCAGGGCGCAGGTGAAGTGGTAAGTGTTGGTGCAGCGGAGCCGGTTGCAGCCAGCGGTGGCGCCAGTCTGCTGGCAGTGGACGCAGCGCAGCATCAAGCCCCGCCTCAGAGCCAGCTCCACGTTGATCAGGGCACCCGCCTGGGTCTCGTACACCTCACTGGACCACAGGGCACAGTTCAGGTGCACCTGAAACACAGACCAGGTCAGTCTGAGGGTCTCTACTTGAACCAGGGGCTGGTCTGCCTCAGCACACCCACCCACAGATCCAGGTCCAGGTTCAGGAGTCGGGCCGGCCCGTCCGTCAGTCCGTCTCCCTGCTGGTGACAGAAGCAGCACCTCCGCTGGTCTTTAGGTAACGGGTCAGGACAAAGACACGCCCCCAACCTCCTCAGCAACTCGTCCACTTCCTCCTCCGTCGGCACGGCAACCGCATCGTTACGAACGCACGGACCCCTAAACAGAGAGGATGAGACCCAGTCCATCAGACTTCTTGAAATACCAGTACCATGACCTACAGAAGGACCACCAGAACAGAGTTTTCAGTAAGTTCATACAGCTGGACCTCAGAAGAACCAGACCTCATACCCTGGAACACCTGGACTCGTTCTGTTTGATCCAGATCCAAACATTTAGTCCTGGTTCTGGAACGGGTCCAAATTTCTGCGGACTCTGACCTGCTGAGTGTGATGCCGACACTCCACCGTCTCCAGCGGGAACTCTTCGTTCTCTTCCCGTGTCGAGACAACGGTGACCCATCTGTGCCTGGCACGGCCCGGGGGCGGGGTTTTAACTTCACCTTCACCTGTGAACCAATCAGCAGCAGTCAGTCAGTGGGACAGGTCACCTGATGTGTTCAACTGGTGACTCCTCTAGCTTCAGTAACTGTCAGAGGACGAGGCTGGAGTCAAGTAAACTCCAAGATGTTCTGTTTGGTGAAAATGCTACACTGATTCCCCAACGCAGTGGGCTGTAATAGGCATATGATCAGAGATTATAGAGTCATGAATTTCCAGATTAAACACAGGTAATCCCAAAGAGAGCACAAGATCTAAAGTGTGACCTTTATCGTGTGTAGGTCCAGACACAGAATGCACCAAATTAAAATCTTCTGCGTGGTGCCCGTAGGTTGCACCCATCGGCGGCTCCACGAGCATCAGTTTGGGATCTGCCTTTGGTTCTCGAAGCTCTTTGCCACCCTCCATACGAGCCTCTGGCACAGGCAGACCTCAAGTGGCTTTCGTGTAAGACGGCTTTTTTGTTGGCTATTATCTCAACTAAGAGGGTCAGCAAGCTATATGCTCTATCCAACAGCCCCCGTCTCAGGTGGGGGTCCTGATGGCTCTGGTGTTACCTTGCGGCCAAACATGGCTTATGTACCCAAGGTGTTATCTCACTCTCACTGTAACCAACCATTGAGACTGGCACGATTTAAGCCTACGCCGGTGGGGCTGGCAACGGGTCTGGGTTGTTGTGCACAGTGAGGGCACTGGAGGCATACATCGCAGCTACTGCCGCCATAAGTCACTTAGACCAGCTGTTCCTATGTTTTGGAAGATCTAGGTTAGGTTGTCCTCTGAAGTAACGTCTCTCCCACTGGATTGTGGATGTCATCTGCCACGCCTACGCCGCAGAGCACGGCCCCCCGCCGGTCGGTGTGAAGACACACTCTACCAGGAGCATCTCCACTTCCTGGGCAGCCTTGACAGGGGTTCTGATGAAAGCAATATGTGCTACTGCATCATGGGCTTCCCCAAGCACGTTCACCAGATTTTACAACATCATCATGGCCACTCCTCATCCTCTGGGCCAGGTTCTTCTGCAAGGGTCCTCTGGGCCTTCTCAGTGAGGTATGTGCTCAGGATTCCTTGTGACATTGCTGGTATTAGTCATTCAATGCTTTCAGCACCACCCTCTGGTGGTCAGTAGGGATGAAATGGAACAAAAGTTACACATGTAACTACAGTTCTATGAATCTCGGATGACCGCCAGAACTTCTCTGTCACCCAGAATCCTTGCGCAAGAAGATTCTGTAGGAGCAGAGCATCGGGTGACGTCAGGCCATACAGCTTCCGACTGATCACCCGATATGTCACACCTGTGACTCCGTTGGAATTACTACTCGAATGGCGCATGCGTGAAGGGAACATTCAGTGCTTTCAGCAATGCCCTCTGGCGGTCAACCGGGATTCATAGAACCATAGTTACATACGTACCTTTCGTTTTACTTGGCCTATCAACGCAATTTAAAAACTGGTGTGTGGTTCTAGATTTTATTTTTTTTTTGCTTTGTTTTGCTTTTGTTTTTTTGAATGTCCAGAGGACCAGATTGAACTTTTTTGGATTTTTCTACCTGGATTATTGAGCATGCATCAGGATGTGTGGTTTAAAGTGTGTACTTTTGACCCACACTAAAATGGAGGCACTGAGATGCAGTGTCTTTCCCACTAGAGTGACTGAAATTGGTCATGTGACTATCACACGCAGGCGCATCGATTGACTCCAAAGTAAAAAAAACCCCCATCAGTCAGAGTAGGTGGTGAAACGTCTGCCTGTTATTGAGAAGGTAGTTCCTCTCACCTTGAGGCTGTCCATGCGGGGCCTGGTCTCCATGGTGATGGCGGAGGCGGGAGGAAAGGTGAGCGGCGGGGAGGAGGAGGAGGAGGAGGAGGAGAAGGATGGAGTGTGAGGGAGAGACTGGACGGCGATAGAGGACATGTTGTTGGTGTAATGGTGCTGGGTTCTGCTGGGAGGAGTTGACTCAGATCCAGTCAGCACAACTGGGATTGCAGGCTGACAACACACAGAGACAAGTGCATTATGGGTAAAGAAACATTCAACGTGAGACTAATAATCAGAGACCAAACAGGTGTGTACCCTCACCTTGCTTCCTGTGGAACGGTTTTGATTCTCGGACCGGTACAGGGCAGAACAGCTGGGACTGCAGAACAGCAGGCTGGATCCGTTTCTGGACTCTGGTTCCTGTAAAACACAAACGGTTATTTCCTGTCTGACACCCTGCAGGTTGACTGAGCCCCAGTCTCTGAGGCCCACCTGTTTGAGGTGGACTCTGTTTCCCAGAAGCTCCTTGCAGCGACTGCAGCAGCGCGGCTGGTTCCCCACAGCAGGGTGCACCCTCTGCAGCCTGCCAGGTCCTGGACCCTGAAGGAACCAGGGGTCAAACATTAGATCAGGTGCTCACAGGGTCCAGGTGTAAATTCCAAACAGAAGGGATACAAACATGAACCTGCGGCACACGGACTCCAGCCAGAAGGGCCAGAGAGTTCTGCTCAGAGCCTGGCGCTTGGCTCAGCTGGTAGCTGATGGGTCCCGGGACCCGCAGTAGCCCTGCCATCGTTGCCATCACGCCCGAAACATTCTGCAAACAGTTGATGTCATGAAGAGGGAGGGACTACTGATGAGTCCACATAGACAGGGGTAGGTGTTTACCTGAGCTGCGACTGGGTTCAGAGTTATCGTTATGGTAACCAGGTCTTTGTTGGAGCAGGAAGGGTGATCCTGCAGTTGAGGCTCCGCCTTCACTTCCTGTTTCACCACAGAGCCTGAACACAGAGCCGCCAGCTGATCAGCAGGTGACAAACATTAAGGAGCCTGTGAGGCTGCAGCTGACTGACCTTTGCCCCAGGCACAGGGGATTATGGGAAATGTAGGCGAGGGGCAGGGTGAGGGCGGCTCTGTCTTGATGAAGGACAGGTCGGGGTACCTGCTCACCACCATGTCCGCTACGCTCTCCGGAGACGACGACAGCACAAAGCCGTCCAGGCTGTCATGGTCCGAAGAATTCTGCACTCTGAGAAACCAACAAAGTCAGGTGGGTTCTGTGACACGAACTGATGCTGGGTGTGTAGGCAAGCCTTACCTGAGCTCTTCCTGATTGTTATGGGGTGGAGTTGGCAGGGAGGCGGGGACATGTACAGTCTTAGAGGAGTGGTTTAGACTCAGAAGCTCCTCCTCCTTCTGCTTCAGTGCTGACACACCTTTCACTGATGTAAAACAACACAAATGTTGCCTGAACAGGTAAAAGCTTGAGACACCACAGAAGCCATTTGACACAGCAGAGGGCCAAAACAGCCCGTCAGACATAGCAAAGGGTTAAAATAGCTTGTCAGGCACAGCAGAGGGCAAAATGAGTCTGTAGGACACAGCAAAGGGCTAAAACAGCCTGTCAGACACAGTAATGGGCTAAAACAGCCTATAAGACACAACAGAGGACTAACAGACTCCTGGCAGGGACCAATGCAGACATGTTCCTGTTTTTAGTTTTCTACATTCGCCTTAGAATCTAGCTGTTTTTTGTTACCTTTTTTTTAGCCATCCTATTTGTTAAAAAAAAAAACTGGAGTATGACTTTATAACAATTTTTTGTTGCTGTTGTCCATTGTTGTCATCTTTCTTTGTTGAAATCAGGTCTCTCTTGTAAATGAGTCCTCGAGGCTCAATGGGATTTACCTGTCTAAATAAAGGTTAGATGAAAACAGCCTGTCAGGCACAGCAAAGGGCTAAAGGAGCCTGTCAGGCACAGCAAAGGGCTAAAGGAGCCTGTCAGGCACAGCGGAAGGCTAAAACAGCCTGTCAAACAGAGCAAAGGGCTCAAAGAGCCTGTCAGGCACAGCAGAGGACTAAGAAGCCTGTCAGACACAGCAAAGGGCTAAAGGAGCCTGTCAAACAGAGCGAAGGGCTCAAAGAGCCTGTCAGACACAGCAGACGGCTAAAAGATTCTATTAGATACAGCCCGTCTGTGATCCTCACCTTCCTGCTCACTGATCTCCTTCTTAGTCAGCTCCTCCGTGGTGGCGTAGCCGTTGAGCAGTTTCTGCCTGGCGACAGGTGGAGGTGTGGGGGGCAGGGAGGCTGGTGGTGTTGGGGGGTTACTGAGGTTATTCTGCTGCAGGAGAGAGATGCACAGTAGGTCAGGGACTCAGGTGATGGAGGCACTGTTGTATCAGTCTGCAGTATCCAGTGTTCTCCCTACCATTATCCAAGAAGGGTGCCTCACCTTGTCAACAGAACTGAGAGCTCTGCCTATATAAATCACCCCCCCCCCCCCCCCCCCACACACACACACCATCAAGTTCCACTAACGGTCAGAGAGCAGAGACTGTTACCAACGACCAGTACCATAGAATATGTGGCTTTGACCTAGCATTAGTAACGTAGCACTTCACTACGTTTGCGGCAAGACATATTGTGTCACTTCCTGTTTCCTCTGCTGGTAGCTGCAGTAACTTGTTTGCTCGAGGAGTCTTATTTTTCTGGATTATCTTACCTTTTGCACGGTTTTACATCCTAGTACACAAACACCCTCAATACAGTTGTTGTTTTTCTACTGTTGGATTGTGCATAAAACACCTTTTGTCTTTCAACACTTCTTGGTTTTCATCAGTGTATTTGGGATCTGCTAGCTCTTGCTAGCATTAGCTTAGCATGGCTTCTGGTTCTCTCCAGACTTCTGTTTTCACTTGCTCTGTGTGTCAGATATTTATTCCTAAGCCTCCTTTAGTGGTGGTACTTGTAAAAAGTGTTGTTGTATGGTAACTTTACAGAGTAATGCAGTAGAGAGCAGTGACTTAGATGATACGGTTGATCGTTTACAACTTCACTGCAAACTTCACTTGATAAAACTGCTCCGCTGAAAAAGAAAGTAATCAATCAGAGGAAGACGGCTCCTTGGTTCAATTCTGAGTTACATACCAGTACTTTAAAACAGTGTAGTGGACTAGGCCCATGTCAAAAACTAAGTCTAAGGTCAAAAATCTTGACCTTAAGAACCTTGTGGGACAGGAACTGTCATTTCATTGATTTGAATCCAGAAATACAGGTTCACCCATCCTGAGACTTTCTCTCTTGAAGATTCAAGTGAAAAGAACACTCTCTGTTTTATTATCATTACTATTTTACAAATGTTGATAATCAAAGTGTCTTAGTTCAAACCATTTTAGATGTTGCAGTGAACTAATCAATTTTATTAACTGTGTAATGATTTTTTCTCACGCAAAGTTAGAACTCATGTCAAAGCTGTTACAGAGTAATTATGCCTTTTCTGATTTCTGCTTTTGAATGAGCAAGTGTAAGTTGGTCCAAGGTTGGAGTCAAACGCAAAACAAGTTGTTGGAACGAACTGTCATGTTTTTAGAATCCTCTCAGACGTAAATATAGAGGTTTTTGGCACCTGTTTCTGAAACGCGCCAAAACAAAACTCTCTCTGTCTGTGAGAACATTTCTGATCTGTTTCATAACAATTCTTGCTGTCTTCTAACCTCTTACGTCACAAAACACACCCCGTCTGGTTGTTCTGACCAATGGGAATACTCCCAAAAGTGGACCGGAAAACAGCTCTTTAAAATGTCAGTACTTCCTGGTCTACACGGCTCTGCTCGAGTTCTGTAAACTACACGGTTCTGTTAGAAGTTCTGGGATGGTGCTG